TATATATGTATATATATATATATATTTCATTTTACACTGTGTTTCATCGATGAAGACTCTTCAGAAATATAGTTTTATCATTAAAAACTGTCATAGTCTTTCAAAAATGTTCTCCAGAACTCTCTTCAACTCTCACTAAGTGTTTGACTAAATCTTGTTTTCCTGTCTGCTAGAAAACAGCAGGAAAACAAAATTTAGTCTGGCTGGAAAAACTCAAGAGAAAATTCAGAACCCTATAACTATTGTTCAATCAATTTTTTCTTTTTTTTTTAATAAATCTGTCTTCTCTCTTTTTGTTTTTAGTAAGGTTTTTGTCTTTAAATAACAAGTTTTTTACATCTCATTTTGAGTCAAATATCTTACTGTCTTTGAATCTTACTGTCTGACAATAAATACGGTTTTTTAATCTTCTCAATCTACGGCTTACTTGTTAACTACTGTGACTGAAAGATTCTATCGAGATGGAGGTGGTGAGGCAAGGACTATTATTTTTGATATATATAAAGCCTTCGATTTTAAGTTTAACATGATGTTCTTTTCCATAAACTTGCTATATATGATATATCAGGTAAAGTTTGTGAGATTACCAAATCATTTTTTCCTTACCGCCTTATTAAGTTAGCATCTGCTGAGGTTGCTTCTGTTTATTGTGCTATTATCATAATCCTGATTCTCTCGGTACATTTTCAACCTCTGCAAATCTCTTATTCATCCGTTTATGGAATACTAGTGTCATATTTGGGCAGGTACTTATAATAATGCTCTTCCTTTCCTAGACAGGGTTCAAAAATACATCGTAAACGTATTTAGACCTGCTTATCTTCCAAGCTTTAGCCTCTCTCCTCTTATCGTAAAGTTACATCTCTTCCTTTTTTCTACAAATACTATCATGGTCGCTGTTCGAAGGAGCTATCATCTATCTATAAATCTGTAATTTCTTTAATGAGCAATAAATTTATCAACCAAAACTGATTCTCGCTTGAATCGTTATTCAGCAAAGTCGCATCTTTTTACTGCATTTGTCTTTGCATGCTCTAAAAACTTTTATTTGTAAGTCTTTTTTCCTCGCACTTTACCTTTTTGACTTATAACTTATAAAAAATAAAAGATGTTTTTAAGGAAAAGTTAGTTTAATTAGAAGCTGAATGTGTGTAAACGTGTCTCGATTCATGGTTATCATTTCTTAATGGCTATCGTGGAATGATGGTTCATTTTACTTTCAAAGGCTAAAACCATGTTAAATGCTGAATCTTTAGGTCTCAATTTGATGAGAAATATACCGCAAAGAACATTTTCAACAAGATCGAAACTACAACAGGGAAATGGAATTTTCTTCAAACATTGGAGGCTCCCCGTTCCGTTAGATTCCTAATCCATTTTTTAATCTATTTAGAAATTTTTAAATATATTTGATGTGTTTTGGTATTTACCTTCAAAAACTTAAGACTTAAAAAAAAAGACATATTTAACGTAGTACTTTCTATATACGATTGGAAAAAAGTTGAGTTAAACTAATTGATTCAAAAAACCTTCTAGCTTTATTTAAAAAAAAATATAAGAGAATAAAGTTCATGAAAACATATTTTTTGTTAAAAATCAAATGTTTCTCGTTGTGCTGTGAAGTCCTCATTATAGAAATTAGTCCGTGGTTAAAGCGAGCGAAAAATTTAAAAGCAAAGCGAATTTATTAGAAGCGAATAATGGGTTAAGCGAGCAAATTTTTGAGTAAAACCATTAATAATAATTTAATATTTAAACTTGAAATCTGGTAATTGACTAGTTATATTAAAATTGCTAATTTACAAAGGTTTTATATTCGAGGACATAAATTAGAAGACAGAAGATTATGTACGTTTATAGTATTAGAGAAATCGATTGCTAAATATTTGTTACTAAACTTTAGAAACCTTTAAGCTAAAGGGCCCTATTTTGCACCATTTCGTTAAATCTTGGTTTAGTGGACCGCTTTTAATCACACTTTCAAAAGTCTGTTTTAATGCCTGAAAATATTATTTTTGGGTTATTTTCTTGTTTTTTTTTTTTTGTTTTTTTTTGGTTTCTTCCTTAGGCTCGAGTGTGTTTTCCAGCAAAAACTGTAGATTTCCAGCAAAACTTGTTTTTCTTTGTTTAGAAATTAAAGTCGAACATATTAGATACCACACTGACTTAAAAACTGACCGTAAATCCCGGACATAGTTACAAATGTCCTTCCATCTATTGCTGTCTTGTTTAAGGGACTAATCACTTTAGAAATTATTTAAGTTACTAAATTCCAAAAGCAAGTCTTACATAATTAATTTGCATATATATGCATTTTAACTTACAAACATTCAATTACACTTCAATTACAATTACAAAAATAATTATACAATTTTGTCTATCTAAAATTGGAGTTTATTAATGAAAATTTGTTATAGAATTATATCTAAAAATAATTAGTGCAGATTTTTCCGTAACCATATATAACATATATAACTGTATGCTATATATATCCAGACTAATTATTTTTAGCTGTAATTATATACCAAATATATATATAAATATATATATATATATATATATATATATATATATATATATATATATATATATATATATATATATAAATATATATATATATATATATATATATATATATATATATATATATATATATATATATATATATATATATATATATATATGTATATATATATATATATATATATATATATATATATATATATATATATATATATATATATATATATATATATATATATATATATATATATATATTGAACTAATTTGCTCTCAACATGCTGCAGGCAACCACTTTTAAGTTGGAAGTTATTAAGAACCAAAGAATAGTGTTAAACAGCAAGAAAATAGTTAGCCGAAAATTGAGGTTTTCAGTAGTTGTAAGTTGAATCAGTCAGAAAAACATTGGAATGATAGAGTCTAAAAGGATTGATGTGGAAGAAAGGAACGAGTAAAAGTTTTAGAGTAGAGCATTAAGGAACATATAGTAATGGGATAGTTCATGGAATAGTAAAAATAAAAATGTTTTGCTTCGACAAGTTGAATAAAAATGTGTTTTGGTTAATGGAACTAGAGATTATAGCTCATTTGAGCAGCGGCCATGATAGTATTTGTTAGAACAAGAAAGAGTAGAGTTCCTATGATGATTGAATTAAGTGGCTTAACTTTAACAGATAGAGAATGTTAAACTACAGTTACGGAAAAAAGTATACAGACAAATTATTTTTAGATATAATTCTATATTGACTATACGAAGCCTCATACTGTTATATATATTTTTGTATCCCTCTAAAAGCTCTGTCTAAGTGTGCGAACAAACATTTATTCCACTAGGTTGTCTCTTTTTTGCAAAAAAAAACTTAAAAGACTATTTGGACAAAAATTTTTTTTTTCTTTATTCATTTCTTTAATATTTAATCCATCCTCCTTTAATTATTAGTTAATGTTTTATCGATTCTCTTATATATATATATATATATATATATATATATATATATATATATATATATATATATATATATATATATATATATATATATATATATATATATATATATATATATATATATATATATATATATATATGTATATATATATATATATATATATATATATATATATATATATATATATATATATACATATATATATACATTTACTTAAGTGTATTTTTATAAGCATTTGCTCACTTTTTTTGCTTACTTTAATCCATACGGCTTTTTTAGAAAAAAAAAAAGAAAAAAAAGAAGAATGATGAATGAAACATTGCTGCCACATCTTAAACCCTCAGTTGATATAGCAGCACTCCACTGCGAGTCAGGCTATTTGTCAGTTGATGTATGTACTGAAGCCCCCAGCAGCAGGCTATTTCAGTATGACGTCAATTTGCTTAACTAGTACGCAATACTACTTGTATATATATATATATAAGCTAGGGATAGGGATAAAGAATTGCTACCCTCGAGGTTACTGAAAATGAAAAATGATGTCAATCAAGGACAACTTATACTGATATAAAAAATGAGTGGTTAAATATTTATATATATACTGTATTCTCCTTCCTGAAAAGTTGAATACTGTCAACATGACTGGTCATTTTTTATTGTTGCTGTTTTTGTTGTTACAAGTCTTTCCTAACTCTTATAATCTACATATAAATGTTGATATACACTCACACACACGCACGCACACAGACACACACACACACACACACACACACACACACACACACACACACACACACATATATATATATATATATATATATATATATATATATATTTGTGTGCGTGTGACATAATTATATATATTTTTATAATTATATATTTGTGTGTGTGTGTGTGACATATATATATATATATATATATATATATATATATATATATATATATATATATATATATATATATATATATATATATATATATATATATATAAACATGTATATATATATATATATATATATATATATATATATATATATATATATATATATATATATATATATATATATATAAACATATATATAATATATATATATATATATACATATATATATATATATATATATATATATATATATATATATATATATATATATATATATATATATATATATATGTATATATATATATATATATATATATATATATATATATATATATATATATATATATATATATATATATATATTTATATATATATATATATATATATATATATATATATATATATATATATATATATATATATATATATATATATATATATATATATATATATATATATATATATATATATGTACAATATACAAATATCAGTTTCAGTAATTTTGTAATTAAATAGTAGCTAAATTTATTACTTATATTTATTTTTTATATTAATTTTTTATAAATATTTACAAATAATTTCTTTATTTAATTTTGTGAAAAAGAAAAACTTTTTCTTTTTTTTTTACATTAAATTTTTTTTTTAGATTTAAAAATTACAAAATAGCGTTATAAAATGGATAAAAAAGTTATTGATGATTTTGAAAGAGAAAGAGATGTTTTAATTAAGGTTATATTGAATTATTTACTTATTTCTAGTAACAATTTTAATTTTTCTAATTTGTACTATGTGCCAAACATACACACATACACACACAAAAATAGACACACCACAAGTTAATGCATGAGCGTTGAATCCCCTATCTAAAATAAATATGGTGGGTGATGCAGGTGGTTGGTATTTTCACTGGAATTAGCCATTAATTTGATGTTTAGATAAAAAAGCTCAGGTATAAGTTAAAGTTGATTGCGTGTTAGTAATAGTTTTTTAAGTTTTACAATGAGTGTTTTGTATCATGTAATAAATACATTAAAAAAACAACTGCCAGCAATAATTGTTTTTCTGATATTTACTTATTCAAGAATTTTTAGGTTTTCTAGAAAAACTACAAAAAAGAATGTTGCATTTGACCAAATTTTTTAAGCTTTTTTAATACATATTTAGCTTTTTTATTAAAACATCTGATTATTTTTATAAATATTATTTTGTTTAAACTTTTTTCTTTTTTCCATATATAGAAATTTCATTTGTTATTCTTTTTTGTAAATTTTTTTATACAATAAATCACACTAAAATAGCTCCAAGTAGAATACAAATTGTGAGAAAAGGTTTTTGTAAATAAAACTCTAAAGGTAAAGTGCCCTTAAAAAGACAATAAATTTAAATTGACTTTAATTATTTTAAGAAGCCTATTTTTTTTTTTAATTTTATTTGAAGCCATATAATTTCTTCCTATCAGTTGAAAACAGTAACCAATTTTTTTTATGTTTTATTTGTACTTGAAGTTTGTCAATTTTGGACAAGGTGCCCTTAAAAAGTCAATCTTGTTATTGTTGATATCTCCTCAACAATTAACTCAATTTGGGAGATATTTTGCATGGTATTATCTACCTAGTATAGGTATCTTATAATTAAAAGAAATCTGGAATTATTTAATAATTTTTTAAAATAATAAGAAAAATCATAAAATTTACCCAAATAATGCATCTCGTAATAAGCATTAAGAACCTCATTTTCTGAAATTATTTTGATAACATTGTATTTTTTTCTTCCCTTCATATCTTAAAGTTTGTTTTTAAATATAGTAATACTTCTTATAAAAATTCAGTTTCTTATAACAGCTACTTCTTGTTTTAAATTAATTTGAATTTCAATTTGAAACCTATTTCATAAGTTTTATTTTCTATATATATAAAGATAAACAAAAAAATATATTATTTAAGATAACAAATGTAAATTATATTTAAAATTTTAGACACATTTTCACTGCTTAAATTATTATTTAAGTGAAAAATTCATCTGCCATGTAATATTTGGTATACACGGAATTACTAGACAGATGGCTCCACTAGATGCTGTTCGAAGTATTCCAAACTTATTCATTTCAACAACAGAAAATGGATCCCAAGATCACAAATCCTTACTTGCATTTTATAAATTATTTGATAGACACCTAATTAAAAAAGGCATACTTCGTCCTGTTGTTGTGTTGAGCCATGGTCACAGTTCTCACTTCAATTATACCTTACTTCGATTTCTTATAGAGAAAGAAATAGATTTATTTATATCACCTTTAGACACTATGAGGATAACTCAGCTTCTCGATCAAATCAATAATGCGCTGCATGAATGTTATGTAAATACAAAAGAAAATTTGTTTAGTCAACGTCAAAAAATTATTATGGAGGCTTTTATGTTATCTCTTTCAAGTATGTGGGAGAAGTGGGCCGCACCATAGTCGATATGAGAAGCTGGAATAAAGGTTTGTATTAGTAATGAAAGCTTAAATGTTGCAATTATGCAAATAGATAAATTCCAACAAGCTTGAATGCTACTTGAGGAAGTTCGAAAAAACAATTCTGTATTAAAAAAAAAAACATCTCAGTATGAAACAACAGTGTATTTATCAGCTGCTTCACCTAATGTTACTGATATTTCATTATTTCTAAATGGGAAAATAAAGTTCTTCTATATCTATGAAATGAAAAAATAGCCAAGTATATTGGAAAGAGCTTCAAGCTGTAAAGAAAAATATTAGTCACTACAAATAATGATTACAGACATGGAAAAAGCATTAATCTTAACGAAATACTAGGTCTATTGACAACTCAAAAAATTATGTCGACAAAAAGTAATGATATGCAAAAAGCAATAACAATAGTTACCCAAGTCCATGGCTCTATGGAAGGTCAAGATGTGCTAAAACTTGTAAAGTCTGTTAACAACTCAAACGAGAAAAAAACGCAGAAGAAAGAAGACAAAGAAAGAAAAAAGAAAGAAGAAACTTAGTTATTATATAAATGCAAAGAAAGATGCATTTCAGACGAAACCATTTGCAAAGCTGCAAAACTTAAACAATTCCCTATGTGTCAAACTGTTTTGAAATTAATATGTGGTAAATCAAAGTGCATCTTAGATGGTAAAAGACCAAATATGATTTTACTTAAATGTGTAACGGAAAAAATAACCGCTGCCAATAAATTATTTAGAAACTCTGACGATGAAGAAGACAGTATTAAAGATTTTTAACATTATAGATTCCATTAGGTCAATAGAATCTTTGTTATTATTGAATAAAAAATTGCAGTTGTCATTAAAAAGAGAGTTTTGTTTGTCATTTTAAAGTTTTTTTTTTTTTTTAGAAGTAAAAAAAAAAATTCAAAATAACAAACACAACTTGCAGAAGTGTTCTCCAAAGCTCTATTCTTTCAAAACTAATTAACAAGTGCCTATCAGAGTCTTGTTTTCCGGCATGCTGGAAAGCGGCATCTCTTATTCCTATTTTTAAAAATTCTGGAGAGCCATCAGACTCATTTAACTACCGTTCCATTACTTTTCTTCCTAAGCAAGGTTTTTTGGACTTTAATTAACTAACACCGAATATCTCATCTTGAATCTAATAACTTACTTTCTGATCATAAGTATGGATTTTGATCTTATTGTACTACAGCTGATTTGCTAACAGGAATAACTCAGATTTTATCATGCATTAGACAAAGGTGGAGAAGTTAAGGTCATTTCTCTTGACATTTCTAAAGCTTTTGATAAAGTTTGAAATACTGTTGCCATATCTGGAGCAGATCTTCTAATTATGCCCTTTCTCTTGTAAACATAGTTGCATCTGCTCTTGTAGCCAACCTCCAACATCGCGCAATGTTGCTTCTCTTTCTCTTTTCTACAAATACTATAACAGGCGCTGCTTTAAAGAGCTAGCAACTCTTGTACCACCTAAAATTCCTTCTTGTATTACTCATCATTCAATTAATTCTCATCTATTTTCTTTTACTGTTCCTAAGTGCTCCAAAAATTTTTATTCTTCTAGTTTTTTTCCTTGTACATCAGTTCTTTGAAAATGGCTTTCTTTATCTTGTTTTCCTGATTCATATAATTTTCAATCTTATAAGTCGTCTGTCAATCATTACCTTGCTCTATAATCTTCATCTTTTCTTTTCCAGTAACTTTCAACTCTAATAGTGGTTGCTTGCAGCTTTATTAAAAGCAAAGATGTTAAAAAAAAAAATTAGCAAAAAAGTTAAAAATAAATGGTGCCCTTAAAAAGACAAAATATTAACATTTTCAAAGTGCTTTTTAAGCAATCAAAACTATATGTTTGTATGCAAAACAACTACTTTTCTGATAAGAACCCTACTCATAGTTTATTTTTAGTCTTCAGTTTATGGACTTTAATTAAATAATATTTTTTTAAAATAAAATTGTAGTGAGTTTTGGTTCTCAAATTTTTTAAGGTTGTAAACGCTTTCACATAAGAAATTGTTTAATTTATCCAGTGGCAGTTATTGTAACAGTAATGCTATTCAGTCAATACTAGCAGTAAGCAACCTGTAATACGGGTTAGTAGTAAATAAATCATTACCCAGAATTTGATATTTATTTACTTTCTCTAATAAAATATAAATTTATTTATACAGAAAGCAACCCGTAATACGGGTTAGTAGTAAATATAACATTACTAACAATTTGATCTTTATTTACTTTCTCTAATGAAATATAAATTTATTTATACATTTTTTTAGTTGAGCTCATTTTTATTTTCTTGGCCTCTTAGTTTAAAAGAACTCTTAGCTTCATTAAAGATAAAATTAACCATTTCTTATGCAATGTTCAGACATTAAATGCGCAAATCACAACCATGCAGTTGTTAAAAATGACTTGAATTATATGCACAGAACATCGATGTCAAATTTTCCAATTCCGTAAAATTGTTTAGGTAAATATAGAGAATATATTCTACTCCTAATTTTGCTTTCTTTTTTTTTTTAAACTTTTCATTTCACTGAGTGAAGAGCTTAAAAATATGTCACTATCGCACCTAAACTTTTCAATGTTATCAATATACTTTTTAAATATTTTTAAAACATCTAAAATATTACACCCAAACTTGTAGGCATAGAAGTTGGATATCCGGAAAAACTATAAGTTGAAAAATATATCGCAATTCCGAAAAGGGTTTACCCTGCATACGGATCCTATATTATTATGATAAAGATTATTATTAAACCAACCTTCTTTCATTTTAACTTGTTTATAAAAAAACAATAAAGGGATATATGGATTTACTATAATAGCTAACGTATATCAATATATTCAGGCCTTGCGATGAATAAGAACTGCGCAACGCATAAGCACGACATGATTTTTGACGTCATTAAATTCTTTTTATTTGTTTTTCATATTTATCGACATTAACTGCACCAATTTACTTAATTACCGCAAAACTACTTTAAATCATTAATGTAGAAATGTTATTATTTAAAAATGTTTTGGAATGTTTCGTTTTTTAAAATGTAAAAACATTTGTTTATGTTCTCGACGTTTGACGCGTTTTGCCTATACTAAACGAATAAAAAACATTATAACTAAACATTTAAAAGAGATTATAAAATATGTTAATATTTGATTTTTTTTTCTCAATTATGTAATTTAAAGTTTTTCAAATTAATTTTTTTCTTTTTAAAAAGTCAGCAAGTAATAAATTGGAAGTTTTAATA